CACCTCTGGATTGCTGCAGGACAGTTGTACCGGCGGTCTTCCTGCTCACCTTGACAAATCATGGGGTCGGGCTCACGTAGGATGATATTGCCGCAAGTGTCAGCCAGTGGGATGTTGCATGGTTAGAAATGGGCAAGGAGGTTATGTCACCATGGCAAACAGGCAAAGGAGTCCACAAGTAAGCCCTGTTCCTCAGGTGTGGTCTGTATGTTGAAAACGTTTGAGAATCCCCCGGCTAGCTTCTGTTTTCTGCCTGCTTCCAGGTGGGGAACCACTGGTGGAAGAAAGCCCAAGGAACCTGTTTGCAGAATCTGAGAATTAGCTTGGGATAGTCATAAAAGGCTGTCTGGCAGCCAGGCATCTCTCAAGGAGCCAAGTCTGAGCACACGTCCTTAATTTAGCCATTGCTTAATAATATATGAATGGTAAACTGCAACCTTCAAAATAGTCTCCTAATATAAATTTGCTATGAACATCCTTGGGATCATTTTCAAAGAAAAGAGGTTGAATAAAAATCAACAGGGGATAGTCTCTGAGGCTCTGAGGATGCGCTGACTGCTTTAATAAAAGGCAACTGAGCCAGAAAGGCTCTCTGCCAGGGATTTCTCCGTGATCTGTCTTTCGAGGGCTAATATCCTTGAACAAGACCACCTGATGTCAACTGATTTTAACCACAGCCTTCTGCCTACCAAATGAATACACCAAACACCGCCATGTTCAGTAAGCGTGTGGAGGCAAAGCAGACGAAGCCCCAGGAGTGGCACGCGTGGCTAGGCTTTGTCCATGCACCCCACAGCTCCTGCACGAAGCGTCTCAACAACCACGCGTGCCCCTGGGGCTGGGGTTGGGGCGTGCTGAGCTGAGAGCGGTGCCGGCTCTGCGGGCTGTGGCAGTGTCTCTAAAGCACCCTGCGATAAGCAAGGGACTCAGTGTTGCTGCTTTTCCTGTGTTGTTCCATCTCCTGGCCACGTCCTACACCGCAGGCCAGCTGAAACGCCTCTGTTTCCCCATGGCAGGGGATGTTGGAAATGCCTGGGTGCTTTCCGTGGGAGCTGGGGAGCACCTGGAGCTCCGGGCCGGCTCCTTCCTTGCCTGTGGCACTTGCTTGCCTCTAGTCCGCTGTATTTGCATCATCTCAGCAACGGTTCACCATCCTGCGTCCTGGATGGGGTTTCCAGGCCAAATTGTAAGGGGGAATTGCTCGTCTGGCCCCCTGCCCCCCTGGGCGGCCAGCAGCTCGGCACCAGCCCTTGCCCGTCCGACTCCAGGGGCTATGAGCCTGGGAGGCGGCCGAGCGGCGGGGGAGGGGGCTGGACCCGGGCGCTGGACCTGACCTCCTGGACTGCCATCTGCATATTCAGAAGTCGTTCCCAGCCGGTTGGCTGCCTCCTGCCTCCCCACTCCCTCTTTAAAGGACCTGAGCGCAGCAGGAGGACGCGCCGGCGCTGCCTCCGCGGCATCCCGGCGCCCCCGGATGCCTGCCCTCGGGGCACTGCGCTCCCTGCGCCCCTGGAGCCAAGGTGAGCGGGGCAGAGAGGTGCGAGCGGCTCAGGTCGGGGACCGCTTGCTGAAGACAGAGGGATGCGGCAGCTGGGGAAGGCTCTGGGGGGATTTGCGGTGCTGGAGGGGTGGCAGGCTGCTCCGTGCACTGCTCTCCCAGCGAGGAGCACCTGGGGAGCCCATGTGGGGTGGCTCCCATTTTGGAGAGGACACCCTTGCCTTCTCTTCTGAGCATCTTCATTTCGTTCCTCAGTCTTTTTCTTCAGGTAAGAGGAGCCTTGGCTGCTTTTTAGTGTTTTGGAAGGTGGTACTGGTGAAGGCTGGTAGTAAGAGCAGGAACCGAAGTACGCGTATGCTAACTCAGCATGGAAGGGGCTGCATCAGCGGGAGCAGTTTGCTTGGGGCAGCACCTCCCGGTCCTGCGGTGCCGGGGAGGCTGAGGGGGGAGCCGAGGCCATCCACGGCGGGCTGCCATGGCCTGGGACCACAGGCTCTGCTCCCGCTCTCCAAATCTCTGGCAGAAAGATGGTGGTGCTGGAAGCCTTGGGCAAGTGGAGGGCTTCTTGCCAGCTTTGGGTCCATCTGCTTACGAAGGGTGTATTGCCCCGGGTGTCGGGGTCTAGGAAGCCTCAGCACAGGGGACGGGTAAGCTCCCTGACCTTGCTGTTGAACGCAGAGGAGGTGAGAAATTGTGACCAAGTGCCAAAAGAAGGTGTTTCTGTAACAAAACAAGTGAGGTAGCAGGACCGACTGTCTCGTGCCCATGCCATGCGGAAAGGCTTAAGGGTGGATGAAATCTATGACTGCATTGCACTTGCTGTGTGGCTTTTTTGGAAGCGACTGGCAGGCTAAGAGGCGGCCACAGGCGATGGTGAAGCCTGTTATACAAGGGCAAGGGGTGATGCTGAGAGCTGCCAGCACCCCGGCCTCGCACTGGCCATGGGTAAACTGAGCAGTTTGAATGCCCCCACGACGGACTGTTAGGCAAATGAAACCCTAATTTCATTTAGGGCTCAGCCCCAGCCCTCCCCGAGGGCTGAACCCTCGGGAGGGGTGGGGAGACAACACGGGACAGCAACAAGTGGTGTCGGACAACCCAGAAAACACTTGGTTTGTCAAGCCTAGAGCTCTGTAAAAGGTAGAGCTCTCCCTGATACCTGCCTGGAATACAGGGCTGTTCGAAGAAAGGCAACCTGCTAAAAATCAGTGAGAAGAAACCCATTTTCTACACTGCTCATTAGCCTGGGGGACTCGCCGTGGAGCAGGCAGTCACGGGGACAGGAGACTGATGGTGTTGAAAATGATCAGACGTTTCTGGGTATAGCAAAAGAATCTCAGACACTTTAAAGGTGTCTGGAAAAGACATAAACTGTCCTACTTCAGGGATGCAAAGCTACTGCTAATTAATGTGGATGAGGAAGAAGCATCCGACAGGGACAGTTACTCTGTAATTGCCCAGGATACGAGCTTTTGCACCTTCTTTTGCAAGTCTGTCCGAACAGCGAACGAGCGGAGGGGGTGGATCCCTGCCTGGAGTCAGCATGACAATTTTAAGCCAGGGGCTGCTGGCTCAGTAGTTTTTCTTTTCCCCGGTAATCCCCATCCCCATCCTTTTTATTCAGTGTTTTGCCAAGCGCTTAGGAGCCCCGTGCTGTGTTAGCCTGAACATCCCGGTGTGTCCTGCTTGCAGCAGGTCACATCACACTTTCACCCTTGCTCTCCTCCTTTCCACCAGCCTGTCTGTGCCGCCCCGGCCCCCCCAGCACTGCCGCCCATCACCGTGCCCTTGGGGCTCTGGTGGCAGGTGCTGGGTGCTGGCAGAAGCGGGCAGCAGCCCTGCCCTGACCTAGCTGCTACGTGCCGTGAGTGCCTTCACCAGGGATGTAGCTGCCGCCCCCGTGCCCTGCCAGCACCCAGAAGCACCCAAAACCACCTTTGCCCAGGTGTGTGTGGCCGGGGGCTCCATCTGGTGCTCACCACCCTTGTACCTGAGTCCACAAGCCCAGAGGGGAGTTTCCCCAAATGCCTCCGGTGCATGCACAGCTGGCGGTGTGGGAATTCCATGCTGCCAGGCACATCCAGGGCTCAAACCATGTGAAATGTACTCTGGGCATGATGAATGCCTGGCTGGTAGGTAGGAGCTGTGACAGTGTCCAGGGCGTTGCTGCTGTCATGCGACACCCGACAGCCTGCTAACGGGTTTTGCGGTGCCTGGAAGTTTCTGCCTGGCTCATTCCCTGGTGAAACAGATTTTGCAGGGGAGCAGGGATGCCCTGGAAAGCTGGGAGGAAAAATCTCTGGCCATGTGCATGGAGAGATGCTGTATGAGATCTTGCCCACTGATGTTTCTTGCTCTTTCTCCAGCTCCACACCGCTAGCAGGCTGAAACATCAAACACCTGGGAAGCCTGCCAGTCTGTCACTAGAAATGATCCCCAACCAGCTGAGGGTCAGCTCTCCAGTGTCCAGGCAGGAAGAAGAGATGATGGATGGCAGGACTGGCTCTGAGCAGGACAGAGACCGTGCCACTTCAGGGCAGGGCCAGGGGCTGAAGTCGGAGCCCTGTTTCCAGACCGACTCTCTCTTGCCTTCCCCCAGCGCATCCCTGATATCACAGCTCCTCAGCTACCCGATGGTTTGCAGGAGCCTGGATCCCACCATCCTTTTCCCTTCTTCTCAGGCAGCGGCCCTGCCTCAGGACTATGAGCATGGTGCATCTCCTGGAGAAGGAGCGCAAGCCCTGGCTTTTCCCAGGTCCCATGACCCACCTCCCATGCCCTGTGCTGTCGACAGGGACCAGCTCTCCGACCAGCACCTGCAGGACCAGCTCTCTGACCAGCACCTACGAGCCAAGCGGGCCAGGGTGGAGAGCATCATCCAAGGCATGAGCATCCCACCTACCCCTCAGGCATTTGGCAGCAGCCTGGAGGCAGCTTTTGGGCACGAGAGGGAGAGGGGCTGCAAGGTGCCACGGGAGAGCAAGAGGAAGCCCAGGGTGCCCCAGGGGGCTCCCGGGCGAGTGGCCCCTGCTGGGGGCAGCCCCCATGCCGAGGGCTGCCAGCAGCTGAAGGAGCAGCTCTGCTTTTTAGAGCAGCAGCTGAGGCGGCTTCAGGAGAAGTTCTCCCAGGTCTGTGACTCTGGGGACGCTGCCCAAACCCAGCAAGGTGCTGAGAAAGTGCATCCACGGCTTGGAAATCCTGGAGACAGACCAGACAAGGACAGAGCCACTGCCACCAGCGACCTGCGCAAAGCACCTCTCTGGAGGAGCGTCCTGGAGGTGCGTGGGCAGGAGGAGGACGAGGACAGAGGCGACACAGGTGGCCTGCCCTCAGCAGCAAGGGTCCTCTCACAGGCGCTGAAGCACGAGCTGGCCGGGGTGACGTCCCGGGTGGTGGACTCTGTCCTGAAGACTGTCTGGCCGAAGGCAGCCAGCCACCTCCTGCAGCAGCACCGCAGCCTCCCGGTGCCGGGGCCAGATGCCAGGAGAGAGTATTTTGCTGCTGGGAAATGCAGAAAGCCACTTGCTAAGCCATCTCCCATGAACACACCGGTCTCACTGGGCTCAACCCAGGCTGAGGCCCTGTCAGGAGCTTCGGGGAAGAGCCTGGGCTCTCATGCTGGCTCCTTCAGTTCAAAGGGGGTCAGAAAACCCTCTCAGGTACCCAGCATGGGTTATTCACTGGGCTCGGCCGCCCCTGTCCAGGACAGCCAGCTGCTGAGCCAGCTGCTGGGCTACGGCCAGCACGGCTTCTGGGGCAGCAGCTCTCGTGGGAGCCCCTCTGCTCCGGAGAGGGGTCCTCTGGAGCCCCTCGACTTGCACTGGGGAACCGTCAAACTGAGGTCGTCGGTCATGAGACAGCAGCAGCAGCATCCCCTGCCCCTGAGCCCTGCTGCCACAGAGAGCCTGGTGCTGCTGCCAGCTGGCAGGGATGGCTGCGGGGAGCTGCAGGCTGCGATGGATGGGGCACCCTTCGCCTCCACCCATATATCCTTTGGGGGCAGCTGGAGAGGCCCCTGGGCTTGGGTGGAGCTAGAGAGGTCCCTGGGCTTGGACATGCTCCCCTCGTCCTCCAGAGCCACAGCTCGGCACAGCCCCTGCCGGTCTTCCCAGGGCCAGGGTGCCCGCTGCTCCCTAAAAAGGGGTGTGCAGGAAAGGGGTCCTAAGCCGTGTAGGGGCACTGCTGCTCCTCAGGGTTGGTTAGATGCCATAGCGTAGCTGGGGATAGAAGTCAGGAGCTCCCAAGCCTGCTCTTAGGCCATCCTGGTGGTCCTGTCATCCTATGCCAAGAACAGGTGTCTCATGGAAATCCCTGTTCCTACCGGCCTGGGAAGCACCATGGCGGGCGGCAGCTTCCCTGGGGATGCCAAAGGGAAAAGCCAGTGGCTGCCCAGGCAGGGATGGACCCCCTCCACCCTGCTGCCAGGCTGTGGCGGGGGGTTATCGTGGGCACCAGGCATGTGCATGCCAGGGCCAGTGCCCAGGGACACGCCAAGCTGGTCGGGCTGCTGCGTGCAGACTTTCCTTGACCCCGAGGCAGATGCAGGAGGCGCTGACCCCCGGCCACCTGAAGAAGGCCAAGCTGATGTTTTTTTTCACCCGTTACCCCAGCTCCACTCTGCTGAAGACCTACTTCCTCGATGTGCAGGTAAAACGGCAGCACCCAGTGCTGGTGCCAGACAGGACTCCCGTGCGGCATGGCACCCAGCCTGCCTCGCTGGGGAACCGTGCGGAAGGGTGCACTCTCATGGCCCCCTGCCTCGCTAGCAGGAGCGAGGGGATGGCACCCACTTCAGCACGGGCTGCCCTGGAGCGGGTGCTCGGGGCTGCAGCAGACCTGGGCTGCCAGGTCTTCACTCTGTGCAATCGAGGCGTTGGGATTAAAGCATATCACAGATGTGCCTCCTCACTGCAGGGCACCTGGGATCCAAATCTCAGCGGGGACAGTCACCGCAGACAACCCCATGTCACGGTCCTGGCTGGTGCTTTTGCACCCCTGGGGCAGGGCTGCGTTTGGGGCCAGGCCAGTGGTGTGTGGCTGGGCTTGCGGGGGCTCATGGGTCGGGAGGCTCCAAGCTGGCGTAATGCCTGTCCTCTGGCTCTCCCCCCTGGCAGTTCAGCCGCTGCATCACCTCCCAGCTCATCAAGTGGTTCAGCAACTTCCGCGAGTTTTACTACATCCAGGTGGAGAAGTTTGCCCGGCAGGCCCTGCTGGAGGGTGTCGTGGATGCCAGCACCCTCCGGGTCTCCCGGGACTCGGAGCTTTTCCGCGCCCTCAACATGCACTATAACAAGGGGAATGACTTCGAGGTGAGGAGGG